CTCCTTAAATAGGTAATATAAAAAAGTTATATATGTAACCAATTATATGCTTTTCTATAGTAGTTATAAAATCATATTACCAAAAGTTATTAATAAAAGTCAAAAGATCAAAGAGGTTATCTTAATACTAAAAAAAAAAATATATAAATAGAATATATGAATAATGTAAATATAATGATTTTAAAGAATAGGGTTCTATAGTCTAGTAGTTTAGGTATCCTTCTCTTTATAGACAAGATCACTAGTTCAATTCTAGCTAAAGACAAAAACTCTATAATCTATAGAAACATATAAATGTACATAAAGCTCTGTAGCTAAGTTTATATAAATAGAAGATTAGTGTATAAGGAAGTTTTTCAAAAAGAAGTTTTCTAATATAAAGAGTTAATGCTTAATATGAGAGAAATAGAAAACATACCAGAAATAAAGAAAAGGTGTACTAGCAGATGATACAGTAAACATAAAAAAAAGCTACAAAAAAGAAATAGACTTACTGAAATTTGAACACTTCTGGCATTAAAACTAGTTTGTAAATACAGAATATACTAAATTGAATCTAAGTAATAATCTTGGTATCAGCTTAATAAGCTTGTATCGAAGATAAATTTGAAGAAATATGGATACTTAGTAACATCCAATAGGGTAGTATTTTGATATAAATAGTAACTAAAATAGCCCTAATCTAATATGTTATTATAATAATAATATAAGCATTATATATATATGCAATATATAATAAAAATCAAAAAGTTTAAAATAGAAGACTCAGAGATGGGTTTTAAATATAGCATCTAGTAGATAACCTATAAGCAAAACTCTTAATTAGATAATAACTAAAGTTATATATATGCCTAGTTGTACTTTTGTTGATAGACTATTGTATATAAATATGTAATCATATATTACTTAATAAAAAACATACAGACAAAATTGCTACTTCAAACTAAAAAAAAAATTATATATATAATAATTTTAAAAAATATTGATTTAATATAAATTATATATATGTATATAATTTTGTAATTTGTTATTTAACAAAGATATTTATTAGAATAATTCTAAAAATAAATTAATCTATAATATTTTAAAAAGTTTATTATTATATATAATTTATTTATTAGACAAAACACAAATACAAAGTACTATTTTTCTAAAATAAGTACTTAATATAATTTTAGTTAATTAACTTATACTATATAATAATAACTTGTAAAAATTTTAACTTTAAACTAAAACTAAAAACAAACTTAGTTGGTTATAGTTAGTTATTAGTTAGTTATTATTAGCTAATTACTTATAATCAGCTAGTTACAATTATAATTAATTAATTATTATTATTTTTTTTTAGTATTAAGATGACCTTTTTGGTCTTTTAACTTTTATTAACAACTTATTAGTAATGTAATTCTATGAACTACTACAAGAAAAAAATACAATTAACTACATATATAATTTTTCTATATTATCTATTTAAGAAGTTTGTTTAAAGATTCTCTACCAATTGCTATATCTAACACCTTTAATTGGATATTTTACTTTAAATTCTCTGAACCTATAATTTGTATTAACTCACTGAATTATACCCAGATACTCAAATTATTATTTTGATTTTAAAACTAATTTATTCTTAAGATAAATCTTACAGAACCTTCTGTATTCATTTTTACAACTGACCTAGATATTACTATAACAGAACTAACACTTGCAATCAGAATTATATTATTTAATTGTTATGTCCTTGTAGAGTTCACACAGACTCTAACATTTATTTTATAATATAACCCAGTACTTTGTATACTTCTGCTTTTTTACTTGTCTTTTTATTAAACTCTCAATTCAGATAGCTCATGTAGGACTACAACTAGTTTATTAGTATATAAGGTTGACCTAATATTCTTTTCTTTTATTTCATTCTAGCAGTCTGGTTAGTGGTACATTCAAGACTTTCAATCTGAAGGTTCTTACCTATCTGACTATTATAACTGGGTACTATAACCTTGATATCCATTTCTCTAAACTAGTTTTTACTGTAAAGTCATCAAAAATTTACTATCTTTCTACTTAGATCTTTTCAAATAAATTTTTTGTTATCCAATTTTAACAAATTTACACAACTATAGCTAATTAGTTATTTAATTATTTTATTAAATATAACAAACTAATTATATGTTTATTTAATAATTTATATCTATAAATTTGCATTATCTAATAAATAAAAAAACCTATTTGTTATAATTTTGTTAAATTTGTAAATTATTTAATTAGATCTAAAACAAACCAATATGATAGTTGTATAACACTGTCATACAAAACCAAAAATAGAAGGTTACATTGTAATTTATAGTTTATTTATTAATATTTATTAAATAAAAAATCTAATTTGTAAAATTTAAAATTTAATATTATTAATAAAATTAAAGCAATTTGATTTAATAATTTAAATTATTCTGTTTTGTCATTTTTTTTAGTAAAAAAAATTTAGAATATATATAATTTTCTAAAATATTCTAAAAAAAAATTGATGAGTAAAGTTAGATAGATCTTTTTAGTTGAAAAAAAATTAATAAAATTTATTATATAAACAATATTTTCTTTTTTTAAAGAAAGAAATTAAATCAATAAATTAAATTGGTCTTGCTTAACTTGTTAGATATTAATATAATAGATTATAAATATGCTATTTTTTTATTTATTTATTATTATTTTTTTTATATTATATCTTTATATTTTTATTTGATTATTTATATTTAACTTAGTATTACAAATATAATAAAATAACAGATGATTATTACAGATATATAGTAAATTAATGCTATATGAAAATGCAAATTAAGACAGCATGTGGAAATTATAATAGTATTTATAGTTTTAAAAGAAAAAATTTATTTGAAACAAAGCTAATTTTCTATAATACTATATAAAAAGAATAATGTTTGCACTTATCCTAACTGTAAACATCAAAAAAAAGGTTACTTAAAAGAATTAGATCTTCTTTTTATTTGGTATAAAGATGTAATAAATTGCAAACAAAATTTGTGCAAGATTTTGTTAATCATCTAACTAGATTGATTAATATCAACTTGTATTAAACTAATTTTAAAGTTAATATTAAAATTAGAGTTAGATCAAGTTAAAAAAGAATTTAAAATTAAAAATATATGCCAAAATTATAAGAAGAATTTTTTTGATAAAACATAAAAAGTAATTTCATAAGTAACATTTTAAGATAGTAAATTAATTTTATTAACTATAATTGACAAAATTTGACACAGATTTCTTACTTGCTAATGAATCATTATTGTAGTAAGCAAATGTCACAGATTTAGTATGTGCTATAACTGTATTACTGATAAATAGTAACCAACTGTATTAAAAGTAATTATGCTATTTAACTGACAAAAACAGCAAATCAATAATCCTATAAATTGGTTAAAAAATAAAACATAACTGTTAAATATATGCTAACACTAATAACTAAAACTTACAAAAATTGATTTTAAGTCCTTTTCACCTTTTTTTAGAAAATTAATATTATTCAGGTAACTAATAAGTGAATTAGGAAAGAACAAAATATAACTTACATTTATTTGCAAATAGCATATTTATATATATGCTGTTTTTCCTAATATAGGAGTCGTTAAAGCAAACATATAAAATCACAAGATCACATGTAACCAAAAAAATTCGAAGAAAACAAAGGACTCAAGATTTTACTATGAAAGCTAGTTTTACTCCTGAATAAAAGTTTTCTGCATGAAATTTTAGCATCATGAGTACATTTAAATTTTGAATATCAAGCAAATTATAACCTGCACTAGATTCTGATCTTTGTGCTCAGTGATCGATATAACCTGTCACAGATTCAGTACGTGCTATAAATATATTAAAATATTCATGGCCAATAAAATTTGATTAAAAGCAACCGATAATTTAATAACGAATTATCGTATTATCAATGAATACGTACTTAAAAAATGTCTGACGGTTTCTTTATTAACCATGGTGCAAGATAGTTTTAAGTACGTACAAGTAATACAAATGCCTTAGTTATATTTTATACAATAAAACGTGATTGACGCAATTTTTATAAGAGGGTCTGCATATATAACACGTGCCGGATAAACAAGATATAAATCAGGATACCATACCATTTGAACAATGTCCGATCAGAAGCCCGTATTCGCACACAACATTTCACTCTCCGTATAACCATACACTTCGTTTCACTCCGTCCTGGTATCTCTAATCTGGTCAAATAATCTGCAAATTTGACCAAAATTATAACTAATGGGTTTATTTCTGCATCCATCAGATGATTGTCACCAAAAGTTTCATGTATCTTAAAAATTTAACGATAAGTAATAAATTAATAGTGATGGGCAATGCGCATGGGATTCATCACGTGATGTTCCGGATAATTCGGGCCAATGCATAATTCCAGCCGAAATTTACAGTAATCCTGGTAACAATCGCGAATCCCGCGCGTCCCGGAGATTTTTAAAAAACTGCGATTTGCCCATCACTATAAATTAATCATTTTATTTATTTCAAATAACTCAATAAACATATTATTTATTATAACCAAAAAGTATTATTATGGGTTTTTTAAGTATTTGGAATATTCTATTGCTTTTAAAATGATTCTAATCCTCCAATTTACGCAATTGGCACAAAGTTTCATTAATACTATCGAACCATTTGTTAATATTTGTTTTCTTCAATAATTTTTTGTTGCTGCGTCCTGGATTCAAATAAATAATCGGAATTATAATTTTCTGGAAGAGCATTAAAAATTAAATCTACAAGGTTTTCTAATTCAATTGCATTTTTTTTGATTCGATTTTCATTCGCAAAGCGTTCTAAAAACTATTGTAAACAGTGCTGTAACAAACGTAAATAATCTGGCTGCAACAAACATTTCGCATCGTACAAAACTTCTCCAAATTAATCCGCAGGTTTGCATTTTAACTTTTTAACAATATTTTTCGAATGATGATTTTATGTGGTTCATTCGTGAGACGGATGCTGAAAAGACTGTGAATAAACTGTCACCTACATTCTTAATCATCCTAATAGCTCTGCCCCAGGAATCTTTCCTCATGCATGAGAGGATGATTAGTTCATAGGTATTATGTGGCTATTTTAGTACCACACATAGTTTCATCTGCGTGACGGCCGCACAAAGATAACAACTTTGCATATGTACTGATGAAATTTTTATTTATCTGAATACTGATGCATTGTATACTTATATTAGTTCGAGAATGCTTTTGAAGGTGTTTGTAGTTTGCGTGACATTGGTGCCGTTGAAACGAACGAGAAAAGACCACTTAAATCGAATCAGATTGCAAAAAACATAGATGAGTTAAAGAGAAAGCTTAAAAAAAATAAGTCACGGCTTTATCAAAGTCTTCACTCTAGTCTTATTCGAGTAAATCTATCCAAGTTAAAATGGAGAGATTCCCTGGCCAGTCAAGTTATTAGTGACGACTCAAAATTAGTGCAGGAGTTGGAGGATGAACTACGAGATTCCTTTACGGAACCGAAACGGAAAATGGCACCAAGATCTCTTCCAACAATTGTGCAAAGAAAGTGTAAAGAATTTGTGGATAGTTTTATTGAGGATCATGTAACCAGCTTACCGCGAAAACTTACTCATAACGGGGAGTGGAAAGAGTCTGGTCCTGAGCTTGTAAATGTTACTGAGAAAATTTTAGATTCGTTGTAAGCATTTTTTTATATTCTGTAACATTATATATGCATCTATTACCTTGTTCTAAGTGCCTTATCAGAAAATCTTTCTATTTATTAGGAGAGATGCTTGGAATAATCCGGCGTTTAGTCCAAAGTTTGAGGAATCACAAAGGGAAAGCACTTATGTAAACAAGATTATATTACCAGCAATCCGCGCTTCATTAAAGTACCTTCCACTAAGAAAATCAACATACGTCAGTAGTTCTGAACGTAAAAGCAACGCTAGTGCCGATAGAAAGGAGAATGGGCGGTTTGGGAAACGGCCAGACATCATGTTCGTTATGAAACGTGGTGAACTTTTATATACTGAATGTTCACATCTGTCATGTAGTGCAAGAAAGGAGAGGGATGATGGTGTGAAGTTGTGGCGCGAAACCAATGATGGTATGTATTGGACTCGCAAGGGTTGTAAACCAAATAAGGGTGAATTTGGTATTATTGGGGTGCAGGTAGCGGAAAAAAAATGTGCCTAAATGATCTTATTAGGGATAATAGCGACGTGCATCGGTATTATCATCTTCACGAATCGACAATACCAATTCAACAATTAGACCTCCCTTTCGTTTCAAAATTTATAGAGACCTTACTAATAATGCGAAATATCCTGATCGTAAACATGTCCTTACTTTATAGTGTACCTCTAAATCGTTCAACGTCTACGGAAGATAGTTCTACCGTGGACTCTGATTAATCTTTGTTTTGATTATGTATTTTATTTTTAATATTAATAAAGCTACTCGATTTCGCATATATAATCGTGTTTACTTTTACATGTGTATTCCCTAAATTTATATATTGTATTGATATCGATGTCCGTATGAATGAGAATTTTCTTGGCAAAATTTCAGCGACCTCAGGTCGCCCAAAATAACTTGTCCTTTATTTGCTGATGTATGAAAAAATATTTTCGAAAATGGAATCAGAGATTGACTTACTTAGACAGGAGAACGCCAGACTTATGGCTATAGTTGGTGGTAGAATTACTGAATTACGGCATTCTACCATGTGGTAGAATTAATTTTACCACAGTACCTGTTTGTAGGGTTGTTAAATTACAGTAATTTTACATAATTTTACCTAAGTTTATGTAAGATTCTGTAAATTGAAATTTCATGTAATTGTAGTTTTGAACACATGATATTTAGTTTCTGAGATCAAATTTTCGGCGATTTAGGTTTTACATTTTGAATCGTACATTCAAATCAATCGATGCAATAATGCTGGCCTAGGGATGGTAAAAAATCGTTTTTTAATGATTTTTATGTTTTTAACCTGATTTAATAAAATGTTTTAAAACATTGTTGATTATGACTGAAACCGAAATTACCACACACAGATTGGATAATTTGAATTTCGGTATTGCTGTGATATTTAAATAATATTACGATATCATTAAAATGATCTGAAATAAAATTTACCCGGTTATCAATGACGATGATTTAAATCATAAAAAAAAAATCATTTTAAAGCAATATAATATTGATTTAAAATATTGTGTTTTAAATCATTTGCCATCCCTATGCTGGCCGAAATTTTGTAAATCTGGTACTTTATGTATGACGTGTGAAAGTTAACATGAAAATTGATTTTCTGTAACTTAAATAAAATTACATGTAATGTAAAATTGTAATTTATGTAACACAACCCTACCTAATTGCCGTAAATATTATACGCCGTAATGCCGTAATGCTGTAATCGTAATCCCATAGTCGTAATGTTGTAACTGTAATACGTAACTGTAAAGACCTAGTTATCACACCAACTTTGTCACAGTAAATTTACAATTTAATTCGTGATCTACAAAATTTGGCCTGCATTACATAATTGTCTACATAATTTTTGATCAGAATTAAATTTTAACTTTTTTATTCTAAAAATGGAAATTTTTAGAGAAACAGGTCACGCAATGGTAAAATTAGCCCAGTAACATTATTATCTGATAAGCAGTTGTGGTTTCATTGGACCAGATAGTTTATCTGAGTTCATTTGTTAGTTCTTTTTAGAATACAATGTTCAAAAGTAGTATAAGTGTTTGCTCTAATACTTTCTTTTTAAATAAATATACATAATATAAAGAATAAAGAATTGGATCCTCATAAAATTGTGATGATCAATTATCCAATAAAATCAAATATACATCTAGTCTCATATAAATTTGTGATTTTGCAAATTTTTATTATTATTATTAATGATATGTAACAATTATAGATACAGATATTTAAAAATGTATAGTTATGTTTAATTGACATATCATTATATCAAAAATGTTATATGACATAGGTTGTAATAACTGACATTGAATAAACTTAGTTTAGTAGTTACATTAATACAGTATAAAAAGTTATAAAAGTTCATAACAATAAAGATGATTATAAATTTAATTTTTAAAACAATTAGTTTTCAATTACTGTTTATTTAGATTTTATTATTAATATTAAAAATAAATTCTCTATTTTTAATAAAATTCAAGTTTAGTAACTTATATATAAGAACAATTATATAATACATTTTGTATACTTTATAAAGTAGAATTAAGAATTTAAATCAAACAAATTAATAAATAATACTAATTAAACTTGTATAGCCTAAAAAATATTTAAAATTAAATATTTTTTTATAGTAACTGAATGATAGAGGTTTTATAGTTTAAAATCCTAATGTATATAATCATAAAAGCCAAAATCTTTTTTTGAGCAAATTAGCAATTCAATTAATAATAGCATCTGCAAACTGTAATATTTTTAATATTACTAATTCATCTTTATTTTTCATATAATTATTATTAAATATTTTATATTATTTTAATAATTTTTTATAAATATTATATGCAGTTAGTTTATTAAAAAGATTAGCATTAAGGTGTAGCAACTTAGTAAAGTAGTCAAGTTGTTAATTCTCCAAATAGTAGATTGGATGTTCAAATCCTATTGCCAATCAAAATTTAGGTAATTATCTATATAATATTTATATTATAACAACAGTTACTAATGATTAGATTAGGATATCTGTAATAGTAGTCATACCAGCATAACTGGCAGATCATAAGTCATCTGTATAAATATATTATTATACAGAGAAATGCAAACCAATAATTGAGTAGTGCAAACACTAAATAAGTTCTTGAGACCATGTAAATCTATTAAAATCAAATAACAAAAAGTTTATTTAAGAAGATCTAAGTAGAAAAATAGCTGAATCTTTGATGATACTACTGTAAAAACTAGCTCAAAAAAAACAGATATCAAGGTTATAGTACCTAGATAAGCAAGAATTTTTAGATTAGTAAAGACTCAGAAGTATTACTAACTAGCTTGCTAGAATGAACTAAAGAAAAAAGATATTAGGCTGATCTGATATATTAATAGACTAGTCATAATTTTATATAGGCTATCTGAATTGGAAGCTTGATAAAAAAACAAAAATATACTAAAGTACTGAAATTATGCTATAAAGTAGATACTGAGATTTGAATAAACTCTATAAGATCATAGCAATTAAATAATATAACTCTAACTACAAGTATTAGTTCTGTTATAATAATACAAAGTTAGTTATAAAAATAGATATAAAAGGTTTTAAAAGGTTTATCTCAAGAATAAAATAGTTCTAAGATTAAGACAATGATTTGGATATCTGAGTATGATCCATTGATACTAATATAGATTGCAGGTTTAAAGAATTTAAAATGGATCATCCGAGAAAAAATATTAGATATAATAGTTGATAAGAAACCTTTAAACAAACTTTTTAAATAGATAATATAGAAAAGTTATATATATAGCCAATTGTATGCTTTTCTGTAGTAGTTTATTAAATCACAGTATATTACCAAAAAAGTTATTAATAAAAAAACAAAAGACCAAAAAAATTATTTTAATACTAAAAAAAAAGAAAGATTGATATTTATATATTGATTTTCTAATTGGATATAGTATTTAGAAATTGTATATTTGAGACCAACTATAAAATGAATTATATTGCTTATATTTTATATATTTTTTATAATCTTTAACCTCTTAGAACTAAATTAATTAATAAAATTAAAGGTATAGTCTTACTTTTAATATTTAAAAAAAAAACTAAATTAATTAACTATAATTTTAAAATATTACTGTACAGATAAATTAATTATTAGTTTGCATTATATTATATATACATAAATGAATTTTTATCAAAATATATAGTTCAAACTACATATTATAAATGCTAATAAGATATATTTTATTTAAACACTTTTTAATGATTATTTAGATCCAACTTTTCAAAAAGTTGAACTACTAAAAAATGATATAATTAATATATTAAACTTTATAAAAACTTCTCTGAAGTACTGAATGTACATAGTGAGCATTAAAATAAAATTAAAAAAGAAGTTATAACTTTATTATGACAGTTTAAAAGCACTTTGGAACTATAAAAGAAGTGGGTAGTAAAAGCTATAAGGTTTTTATAAAATAAACAACAAAGTTATATATATTATTTCTATATAACTGTAAAACTTATAAGAAACTTTCAAAAAGATTAAGCACTCATAAAAGCTAAAGTTTAGTTCACAAGGATGTGGCAACTTAGTGAAGTGGATAAGTTGTCATACTTCCAAGTGGTAGGTTGTGAGTTCAAAATCTACCAATAGTGAAATTTGGATAATCACTTATGTAATATATAGATGGTATTATGGCAATGGCATTCTGTCGATCAGTTGGGATAGGATACCTGTAACTATAGTCACACCAGCATGACTGGCAGGTCTGGAGCATCTGTGTAACCTGTTACACAGAGGAATGCAAACCAGTATCAGGTGATGCAAACCTAAAATAAGTCCTCAGCCTGTGTAAATTTATAGAACTAAGAAGCCAGAACCTACTTAGAAATTCTAAGCAAAGAGATAACACAGATCTTTAATAGTACTACTGTAAAGGCTAGACCTAGGAAATAGATACCAATGTGAAGGATTTGGGCAGGCAAGAACCTCAGGTGAGAGGTATCACCAACCAGGCTACCAAATTTCAGACTGAAGGAAAAGGATATTGGGTTGGCCTTAATATACCAAGAACAGGTCACAGTTCTTCCAGGCTATCTGGATTGGAAGTCTGGATTCAAAGCAGAGGTATACTAAAAGTACTAGGAATATGCTATGAAGTCAATACTGAGGTCTGGGTAAACTCTGCAAGGGTAGCCTGTATTAGTGTTCTAAAAGTAGATAGATAGTTAACAACAAGAGGCCCTTTGCACCTTACTGGCAGGTGACATACTCTGAAATATATAATGGCCTAAGAACCAGTACAAAAAAGGTAGGTACCATACTGCCAGACAGTATACCAGTTAGCTATATATAGGGGGTTAGTTGGGATTCCAATATGACAGGGCAGATGATCAGAAAGTTTAAATGAATAATCTTCTAGTAGGTTATAGGTATGGCATCTAGTATAAAACCTTAGAGTGGACTACTTAAATAGGCAACCAAAAGTTGCATATATGACTAGCTGTACTCTCATCTCTATAAAAATAGTTGTAATAGCTAACCTAATATAAAGTCAATAAAGTATTACCACAAATATGACCTTTAATAAAAAAAAATAAAATAAAATAAAAATAAAAATTCTATATATAACAATAATTTTTATATATTTTATATAATATCAATATTTAATATAAATTTTTTTATAAAAATTATATTTATTATATGCAGAA